GAGTGCACTTGATTCAGTTATTGCACGTTATACTTTTTACTGCAATAACAGCGATTAGTATATTCTGAAAATGTAACCTAGAACAAGACCTCCTACTTAATGAACGCACCATGTTTAATGTGTACGATTTAAACTATAATAATTTCTATCATTTGGGTTTAAATCTATAAATATATATAAAACAATGAAATATACTTACAAATTCATACTACTCCAATATATGTCATTATTCGTGAAAGTGATATCAAATGGCGCATCGCCCTCTTGCGTCACAATGTGAGATACTAACGTTGATACATTAATGCATTCAATAGTCGCAGCTGTAATAACCAAGGCAAATACGTCAATAGTTTACGTTGTCATAGAAACGGTTTATAAGTGCGTTAATACGTTAATATACACGTGTATAGACATATTTGTTCAGTCCCGTGAGATATATTGAAACGGTAATAGTTATCGTAGCCTGTTTAAAACAATCAAAACAGCTTACTGTTGTCACACCAGCAGATCTCGTCTGTTTTGCGATCATATGTTATTCCAGTTATCATGGTCTGACCATCCACGATCACGGTAGAATTCTGTCCATACAAGTCTGACTGCATTATGCCATACTCCCGTGTTGTGACGCCAACTCTTTCGTTATACGCCCAATACAAGTAACTGCAATTACAGAAATTCCAGAAACATATGGAAGTCAGTACAAGTTTAAGTGTGTACAAATTATTCCATCTACAATAAATGGTCTCATATATTACTAATACAAAACCACATACCCGTTAATGGGGTCAACTGCACAGGCCGCTGGTTCTTTAGGATTGTCTGGGACTACTTCTTCTCTCTCGTTTGGATCATCAACGTTTAATCTCTCGATAACTTCTTTATTTATGTCCACCCAGTATACATATCTATTGACCCAGTCGTATGCAATGTCAACAGCGAAATCAACATCTGTAATAATAATGCATAATTTTAACATTTTCCTTTTTTCCAAAAATTGGGACATTATAGTTATTAGGCCCCAGGAATTGTGTAAAAAGGCAAAACTTATTATCGACATTTTAGCGGTAAAAATAATGGCGCTCAGAAGATTAACAATTGTCGATGACATAGTATGTTTATGGCGTAGAAGACTGAATAAATTATGAAGTAAAATCTGTAAGACGCCCAAATATAATGTTCAGATGTCTGGTTATGATAGTGCATTCCAAGTTCATCAACAAGTGTTGACACTGTTCTCAAGAAAGATTCTTTCTGTAACAGTATTGGAAATCAAAAACAGTTTATACAAACTTTATATTTATAAACTAGCTTTATATTGTTCGCAAATTGACAAAATTCCAATTATGTTCAGATGAAGATACTAACTGACTCTAACGAGTGGGAAAACAAAATACCTACATTGGTTTGTAGTGCCAATGTTAGTGACTATCTATATATAGCATCTCTATAATACAGAATCTTACCTTCAACTGCTAATACTTCTATGGTTAAACCACTCTCGTTAAGTTTGCCGCGATTAACAGAATGTGGTATGCCACCACACCAATACAGAAATCCGTCGACGCAGTCAAAATCCACAGCATGTGCTTCCGCGTACTCAAGTAATAATGTAGATGTTTCGTTAGTACCCGGAACGAAACTACTCACACCTACGTTAGATTCGCAATAAAACACCATAGCTGTAGTTGAAAAAGAAATGTACGTTTTCAGGTAAAATAAAGATATATTTAGTCCAGATGTAATTTAGTCGTCAATATATCGTCGTCAAAACAAAAACGTTTCCGTTACATATAGTTGCAACACTTCGGCGTTGTGTGTACTTAATGCTTAGAAACATTGCGTAGAAATGTACATGCTCTAAAATTATGTATATTGCAAAACAATTTGTTTGGCAATCACTTTGCTCCTCTGATTTACAAGGTCATTCAAATTCAAACTGCGCATGCGCAGACAAGATACTCTGTAACACGGAGTCGATTATCATTATAGAGTTATATCTTAGTATAATTTCACTAAATTAAAGAAAAACATCTGTTCAATTCTTGTAAACTATTATTTTCTGTTGATTACACGCATTAGACAGTGTGTACATACCATCACACGTGACGTTGTCGCTATTCAATACAAATCCAACGTTGCACAAACACTCATACGATCCAATAGTATTGACGCATATTTGATCACACCCTCCATTGTCTTCAGCACACTCGTCGATATCTAAAGTATTACATAAAAGAAAAAAGATCATCAAAATGCATGGAACAAACTGGTTATTTAAATATATGTTAAAGTGGTATTGTCGACAAAACTTAGTTATAAGCGCTTCTCATTTTTGAGTAAGTTAAACTTTAAATTTTAGTTCCTGAGCTATACTTGTTACAAAGCTCAAGATCATTATTAATTTGTCTGCACTACAATATACCCGTCATGCATTGCTGTTCGAATTCTATTTCGAGTGTGCACGACACACATCTAATTTAACGTAATTGTTGATTAAGGGTGGAAAACGAAAGTGAACGGGTCAGTGTGTATTGCCTTCTTGGCCAAAATAGGTTATTAGTAACATTACGACAGAAATACAGTACTATATGCAGTGCTGTGGTGCAATTCTTTGATTCGAACTCGTCTCGGCTTCGCGATTTCGGAAATTGTTTGAATGTTGGCCTTTTCAACCCTCACTTCATGTTAAATAGATGTAGTATGACATGTCTCCGTCTGACAATAGTGTTCGAGTTCTTAGGCAATTATAACAGGAGTTTGTATAATATAGGGTCAGGACTGTACAATCCCAGTATACTGTAGAAAATAAGAATTCAATAAAAATAACCCAACGCAATCCTAAACTCCTGTCGGTGTTGATTGGTTGATTAACTATCCTCTACGAGTGTCATTATTAGAGTTTACGTGCGAAAAGTATGATAGACGGCGGAAAATGTCATCCAGTCGTGAAGGGAAAGGGTACACTCTCTCTGTCGGTGGCGGCGCTGTCATGCCACTCGTAAGCCTACGACTTGTTCTATTTATCAAGTATTTGTGAAATCGATGAAGAAATTAGATTTAAAAAAATAGCACAGTATCTATTTTGTCTATATATTAGTGGTATAAGATTCGTAGATTAGAAGAAGATATATAACATATTATCAGATTGTTTAGATTGTCATGCTGAAATAAACGTTATACATCCATGTACGTGCCTCGTTTTCAAGTAACAGAATTTTACGCGACCTTAAGTCGCATGCAAACCGCGAGATTTAGTTATTAGATATAGTAAGTTAACAATTCCATAGATAGTCGTTCAATTAGTGAAACTGATTACATGGTCAGACTGTTTCCACTACATATGCTAAAATGTATTTTTTCCGAACCAGAATTTGTTTCGTCTCGTGAGGGGGGGGGGGTCAGCATTTTATTGTGGGTAACTGATAGACACACAATAAAAAAAAACACCGAATTACC